TCGCAAAATTATTGTGTCAAAATGCAGCTTTTGCTAGCTGAAGAAAACCTTTGTCAGTTGCTGATCCATCAGTCATCAAGTAGAAGCTGTTTGAGGGTGGAGCTATTGGTACTTGTGCTCAGTGATGCAGCGTTTTGCTTTCTTAGACCTCCTGCCTTAGGACTCAGCTGCTTTTTATGGTCCGATGTTTTAGGCAATAGATTTCAGCCAATATTGCATTTTAATAACATCAAAAGAGGAAGAAAACTCAATAAGCAATTTCTAATTAAAAAGAATTCATAAACTGTTAATGACAGGCTTATTTTTGTACGTAAAGAATGAAGTAGAGAAGAATTTAAAATAATGACAGAGAGGTGCTTAACAATAACCAATAAATCCTTAAGCCACTAATTTCCAGAAGCTGGCAAATTGTGTCAATGGGAAGACCACTTTATATTTGCCCAATTTCTTATACTCTTTACTCAGGCAACTGTTCTATTGGCAGAGGCAGAATAGTGGGATACCCCGTCTCCGATACTCCAAGGAGATCCATAAGCATTTAGATCTTGCGGATCCTTGTTCAATGTCATTCCAGCTGATTTTGTATTCTGATAAGGGACATTCATGGAACTGCTTTCTGCCATACCTGCAGGAGGAACTAACTAGAGGAACAAGGGCCTTTCTGCAAAATTTGAAGATAGACTGGCTGTTGTGTTCTGTCTTTGGAATATGTATTTACTTTTTCACGGAGTGTTTTATTGTATCTTGAGCTTTTGTAATTAGGAAGTTGAATTGGCTGGTTTGTAGAAGCTCTGCAATATATGCTCTACTGTAAAACTTTAACTTGGCAGTAAAAATTAGCTCAGAAAGTTAAGATGATCGATATGTCTATACATCTCTCTTGCTGCACTAAAGACAGTCCAGAAGAGGCAAAAAAGTTTTCTCCCTTTTTCAGCCCATGTGGCTAATAAATGTTATGTCTGAAACCTGGGCTCCTTATTCAATATAGTTCAATTAATGACACGTTTTGTTAGATGGACTGTATTTATTTACTTTTATTTTTTTTGTTAATCTGACCTCCTCAAAAGTGTCACATTACCATTTTTATTGCTTTCTTAACTTAACCAGAAAAGATAACCAAGGCTTCCATTGGACTATGACATTCTCTCCCCATACTATCACAGCTGGAGTAATCTGGCAAATTTCAGTTAGAGTTGCCCTATTCTCATGAGGGATCTCACAGTATCATTGCACACTCTTCTACTGTGAGTCTTTGCTTCATATCTAATAAGTTGCAGGCTTGCTGATTTTTCAGGTTACGTTACAAGACCTTCCTTATAAAGGTCTGCTTGAGGGAAGTACGTACGTGCAGAGAAGCAGGGAAATTGCATACTGGATTTACTGATAGATTGCTAGTCTTGAATCAGCAAATATGTTTGTGCTTCCAATGTGCACGTGAGATTTTTGTATATATGGAAGCTATACTTATGCAGCAGTCATTGGTATGACTGTTGCTCGTCTGGAGAGATCTGTGTGCTGTTACCAACTCAGCTGTGATTTACTGACACACAATGCGGGCTAATGTTGTGAGTGAGAGACTTTATTACTTGCAGTAGTTTTTGGAGGGTGGATGATGGTGAACATTGAGAGCACACTGTTAATTCCATGTGACTCTTGGTTTCCCTTTTTGTCTACAAGCTACAGACATTTTTTCTAGACATTTTTCCACTGATATGCCTGCCATGTACGCACTTACGAGACAGATTCAGGTCCCCTATAGTATACTTGTTTCTAAATAAAGCTGGTGTTGTAAATAAAACTGGTGCAAATAAAACTGATCTTCTAAATAAAACTGGTTATGTATTGCTTTTCATTCCTCTTCCAGATAAACAAAAAAGGTATGCCATTTAAGATACATTTTTACTTTGTCTTTTTTTGTTTGTTTGTTAAGACAGTGCAAAGATAATGTAGTCTTCGATATCCTAAGTCTGCCTGTGCTACAAAAGAATGTCATATCATTTGAGACTTGTTTGTTCATGTCCTTAGAAATGAATGCTAAAACTTTCAATAGCTGCTGACTAGAGACAGATCTTTTTCCTTATTACTAATGTATTTGAATATGAAGTATCTCCTAGAGGTTGTCGAGTTCCTAATAAGCTCAAAAAACAAGTAGTACAGCTGTTTCATAACAAAGTCTTGGGATTTAAAAGTGTCTCGTACCTGTTTTCTTGCTCTCACATGACCCTGCAGATCTAAAAGACATTGACTTTATGTATATACAATGCTTCTAGATAATGTACAAGTCAATATTAAAATAAAAAAAAAATGTGCTCTGTCTATTCTTTGAGTGGTTTACAGCTGCACATTCATGACATGATGAAACCATGTGAAGAAGGAAGCTTGATTCTGGAGTGATGGGATGAGGTTACCTGTAGTTATATGCAAGTCATCCAAACTGCTTAGAGAGGATGACAGTGACAATCAGCAACAGCACAATAGATCAATTTTTTTTTTCTTGAGAATTGGGCAGTTTTTCATAGAATCATTAAGGTTGGAAAAGACCTCTAAGATCATCGAGTCCAACCGTCAACCCAACACCACCATGCCCACTAAACCATGTCCCTAAGCGCCTCATCTACACGTCTTTTAAATACTTACAGGGATGGTGACTCAACCACTTCCCTGGGCAGCCTCTTCCAATGTTTAACCACTCTTTCAGTAAA